CGAAATATTAAAATCCTTCCCACTCAACAACCATTAGTGAATTAGATTAAAACTAGATAATTATGCATCATAGACATCCAGAATACAGTTGTTCTTGCCTACAAAATTATATCTGTATTTCTGCTCTTGTGACATAGTGATTAGTGAATACTATAATTTCGATACTTCTAAGAGAATAGCTACACATGCACTAGCCATAAAATTTCTGTGGTTCTATCAAAGGTGTTCAGGGTCATATACTCGAGATAGAAATTTAGACCTTGAAGAAAGCTCTTATTGGTGTTGAGATATTGTGAGTAAAGAATTTGGGCCCAAATCACCATTTACAGCTGAAATTTCTCATTGAAGCAACACATTTAATATTAATTGCAAATTCACAAGACTTCAAAGTATAACAAATAGTATCCTAAATATTCTATCCTCTTAATATCAAGCCCTTTAGACTCATAGTTGTTGAGGAGAGCTGTGTTCAATGTGCCGCTATCGCGTTGTCATCCACTGGCAAGACTTGTTTAACACGGCTGTACATAACTCATACTGTCCTTTCCTACACGCATTTTTTAAGCTTTTCATAGCCCCCACTACCTTAAATTAACCTCCTAAGAGAAGTATTTAGGAGAGTGAAGCATTGTTACCAGCTTATGCTTCGTAATTGCGCCACGGAATACTCTCCAGCAGCGACTCGCAATTGCATTGAGCACCTTATGTTCCCGTATTCCTAACGGTAATTACTAACTTTACCCAAGTACCCAGGAACAGCGGTTTCCCGTTGCAATCAATGCATCCGGTATGGAGTATAATTCGTTTATTTGAAATTATGAAGAAAAAAAAGGCCCATTCATCTTATTCAAGCCTCATATTATTACACCAGTCCAAAAGGTGCGTCGCCTAGTTTCTCGTATTTGAAAGCAACGATCGGAGTCGGAGGGTTTTGTCCCTGTAATCCATAGAAGCTGTAGAAGCTGTGGGTATTTCTCTCGGCCGTGTGAATTATCCCGGCGCCACAATTGGCCCGATGGACCGACTCTCCGCACCCCAAGTTCCACCAAAGTCCGTACTATCACCGCCTACTACCTACGCTACTGGCACACGACCCGCGCCCAAACGTTTGCCCCATTCATCAACTAAACTAGTATCACCGTCAGTAAAACGCCTAGCGCACGTATATAACGAGAATACCGCCCACGATGTCTTCAACTCATTACCACCCGGTAGACACCAGCTTCTCCAATCTTTCGCTCACAGCTATCCGCCTGCTTGACCACTATACACCCTCGTTTCTCATGTCTCAGAAAAGTCCAGATATGACCATTCCTTCAATTACCTCTGACGGCCCAGCGCCCGGCAACATCCTCTACTTGGCTTACGGCTCCAATCTCGATGCCGGCACTTTCCAAGGCCGCCGTGGCATTAAACCTCTCAGTGCAACGGTGGTTACAGTTCCCAGCCTTACTCTCGTCTTTGATCTCCCCGGCATTGCCTATATGGAACCTTGTTTTGCCAATGTTCGCGCCCGAAAGGTCAACGTCCCCAGCGAGAAGCAGCCACTGGTGGCAGAGGATGGACTAGAAGATATGGAGGCTACCGTTGTTTTATCCAAGCTCTCTGAAGGCCGTTACCGGGATTCTGAGGACCCCAACGACGAGGTGGACGCACCGGCACTCATGGGCGTTGTCTATGAAGTGACACCAGAAGACTATGCGACAATAATCGCGACTGAGGGCGGCGGCGCATCTTACGCCGATGTTACAGTCGACTGCATCTCCATTGATGGGAAGTCACTGAAAGTACACACGCTGCTAGCCCCAATGACCAAGACACGACCCCACAGCGGAGCCCAAGCATCTGCTCGCTACCTCAACATCATCTCGTCCGGTGCAGAGCAGCATGGACTGCCAGAGTCGTATCGGAGCTGGTTGGCGCGGTTCAGGCCGTACCGCGTTACGACGCTGCGGCAGAGGGTTGGCTGCGTTCTATTTGTTGGGATGTGGGCCCCAGCAGTGCTGGTAACGGTCGCTATTTCAAGGTGGTTCGCGGGGAGCCATAAGGCGTGGGGTATCAAAATCAGCGAGAGGGTCTTTGGTGGAATGTGGTCGAGCTATGATAGCTTCTTTAAGCAATATTTTGGGGACGGGGAGAGGACGGAGGGGGAGAAGGAAAAGGAAGTGTATGAGGAGAGAACGGCGCTAAGTGAGCCCGAGAAAACGCATAGAGTCGAGGATATGTTTGTGAGTGCTATGGGCGGAGAGACAAATATGGAGAGCTCTGTGGCGAGCTTGTCAGCTAGTTGGGATAAGCTCTAAAGTGAGGGAAAGAAACAAAAAAAAAACACATGGTTATACATAGGGAGGGTGTACAGTCGTTTCTGGGTCAACGACGAACCTGGCTCGATGACGAATGGCTACCTTTTGCGCTGATAGTCAAGGCAAAGGGGTCGGCGCGCTTTCGTTGGCTTTTGTTGGCTTCGATTAGCCTATTCGCCATCGAACCGGTTTCGTCGTTGACCCAGAAACGACTGTACGGAGTTGGAGAATTGGGTGGGGTTTTGTTTTATCTCTGCTTAAATATATATACATACCCCTTTGAGAATGCTATTTTCTCTTTTGTAGTTTGTCTCCATTACTCGCGCGTTAATTAGATGGTCAGATATCGTTGCAACCAAATGCTTACTAAAATTTCCGACCTTTTATTAACATAGAACTGAAATCAGATAGCTGTCTTTATGTTGAACGTAATTGCTGTTGCGACCAGAGTTGGTGCAGTACGAGCTTATTATATACTTGAAATCATATTAAAAAAGCATGGTGTGTTGGGTAGCCCTGATGGCGTGATAAAGGATCGAAGGTGTGTAAGGATCGAGTGATAGTTGGTGCAACCAGGGCCCAACATTACATAACAATATTATGGTGACAAAGCAGCGCTGGGGAATATGACTTTGACGAGGCTTTGTTTGGCATGTGCGGAAAGGATGGATAAATAAACTGCGAGATAAAATAATCGAGTGATTTCGTGTGGTTATCAGGCTGAGAAGTACTGCTGGCTGGCATGAAGTAATGTGGTGCCAGTCGCGTAAGAGTGCGTGTTCCATGATCTTTTGAAAGGAAAAATATCCGATGAGACTATTGTGTTGCAAGGAGCGGGACTGTCTATAGAAGGGAGAAGCTAGGGATCTTGATGATCTAGTGGTATTGACGGGTGGACAACTCTTGGTCTAATACAGCGGTAGGTAATAAGTGATGGAACGCGCTGAGACACAGTGATGCCTGTTTTGAGTAAAACGCCACCAATATACGGTGTTTGCAGGTAGAACTGTATCTCAGGGCATGTTATCACTTATTACCTTAGTCTTAATCTTAGCCTTAGTTTTTAATTTTAATTTTAAGTTTGAATAGCGTTGTTAATAGGTGCATTCGACTGGCAGTCGACTTTGCCAAGCCAGGTGTTTAAAGTCTACTGGGACGGACTATATAGAATATACATTGCATACTATAAGAATTACTCAACCTAGATTAGTAAAACCACAGTGATATGTATAACTTGAAGAGTATACAAAATTGTCAGTTTGAAAATAGGCAATCAGTTCTTACAACTACTTTATAAAACAACCAAAATATTGTTTAATTGAAATACAATAAGTACTGCAAAGAGTTCTATATATGAGCTGTCGGTAGTATAAATAACACCCCTGGTGGTTAATACGTCACAATCTGTATTTGATCCACATTTAATATTAATATAAACTAATATACCAGCTGAATTTCAAACCAAAAGCAAAAGAAAGAACTAGCTTGGTTTGAGAATATAAATATGTTCTTAGTGTCTGGATAAAAAAAGAAATTCTTAGATGACAGTTGAGATGCAATCTATTCATTAATGCCGAAAGAGCTTTTAACTATTGAGATAACACAACCAAAAATATGATTAATGATAAGCTAAAACTGAAACGGTTTCATCAAAATGGTGAGCTTTGAATAGCCTCTAATCATTAGAGCAGTAGTGAACATTAATGTGAGGGATGCGTACTAGACCATAAGAGTACACTACGCAGAGCTCAGAGTTTGGCTAACAGCTACAAAGGTAGAAGTCTCCAAGGTCTCTTCAGTCAACGTCGAGTATGAATCTCCTTGATCCGATATGGGCCCCGTGAGCTACGTTATCAACAAAGATTCACTAGAGTTAGCGTATGATATTCGACCGTCTTCGACGTGATAGTTCAGGTAGAGTGCGAAGTCACGATAGAGTAAAGTAATTCCAAAAGTATAGTCAAATAAAGTTGTAACTCACGTATCAACGATTTATATTGTTAAGACTCTGATTTCACCGATTATGGTTTGGCTAGTCAGTGAATGACACAGTATTTATATTCCTCGCTTATATCTCGAGGACCCAGTCTACTAATAATACAGAGTACACTCGGGGCCTGCCCAAGACCCTGAAAAACAACCAAGAACATTTAACTCCTAAGTCCGTAACCCAAACTCCTAAACCCGCTGAAAACCCCTCAACCTAATTATCCATCCTAATGCACGTTTCCCAGTCGATGTTTCTTCTCCATCGGCCATCTGGTGGATAATCGTCAGCGTCGGCTACTCATAGGTCTCAGACGGCAAGGCTACCTACTCAGGCCTCTTCCCATATCGCTTTCCCATATAGCAGAGTCCTCTCATGCCCACAGGTACCGCCGATAGGTACTCGGTCGGCTGGTAGCTTGAGCCGATTCGCTCCGGGTGGTCCGATCTTCGATCCGATTGATTCCAGCTGTCCCTCATATATCTACCGGTACCAAAACACTCCCCTCCGGCGGTTTGACGCTCCGGGGGTTATTATTGGGGTCAAAAACGTGTTTTTTAACTAGGAAAACCGCAACTCCGCATTTGGTCGCATATTGATCGCACCGCAACTTGTGGGTGCGAACCGGAGTTGATAGTGGTGTTGCCATTAGTGTCAGAGGGTATTGGGGTTATCTACTAGCCTTTCTCTCACTCCCGTAAATGCTTGGCATGCCCGTAACAGAATGGTCGCACGTTCGGAAGAATTGGAGAAGGAACCGAGGCGGGAACCGGAATTCGGCGCCGCCTGAAGACGAGGATATGGTAGATTCGCTCGCCAAAATACCCTCCGAGTTCGATAATGCCCGGAAGCAGAACCTGCGGTATTGGCTCATGGAGTGCGAGATCTACTTTGAGCAGAAACCAAAAAAGTTCCGAACGGACAGGAATAAGGTCCTGTTCGCTGGAACATATACGTGTGGGTTGGCAAAGGAATGGTTCATGGAATACATCGAGACCAAAATGTTGGGCCCGGCTGGTGCAGACTACGCCACTTGGGCTTGGTTTCGTCAGGAAGTCAGGAAACGTTTCCTAAGCACTCAGGAGGCTGTGGAAAACGCGATGAAGATGCAGCAGTTTAAGTACTCTGCTAACATCGGCGACTACCTGACAAGGATGGAGAGCATGAACCAACATGCTCAGATGAAAGGGGCATCCTACTGCGCTGCCCTGCTCCAAGGACTACCAAATGAAATACGAGAGGGCCACTCACGCTTCGATCCAACCGATGACGACTCCGAGTACATCCAACAGTTGGAACGAGCCGGCAAGGCTCACGAAGCTTATCAAGAGCAGATGAAGATGTTGGGGAAAGCGGAGTTGAGAGGAAGGGAGTCGAATAATGGTAGGAACTCGCGGCAGAAGGAAAAGGGGTTTAAAATCAAGGGGAGGGCTCAGACTGAGGAGAAAGAAAAAGGGTAACATAAGAAGAGCACCAGCAAGAACAAGTCGGGGAATAAGCCAATATACCACGACTATGACGAAGCCACCAAAGGAGTTCCACAGCCGGTCCGAGACCAGCGAAAGACCGATGGTGTCTGCATGCGATGTGGCCGAAAGGGTCATCTTTGGAGATGGTGTCGTTCAGATGCTAACAGCAGTGCATCTATCTCTTCTTTCTCCCGAAAGCGTACCCGCGATGACGATGGTGACCACGATATGGAACCACCGAAACCCCAACCTCAGAGAAAGCATATGAGGCACTGTGCTAGAAAGCCGGCTGCTACGGCTACTGCGGAGTACACCAGTGGGCAAGCGTTTGTGCGAGAACGTGGATCGGAATCTGAGATGGATTTCGACATGGGTTTTTGTTAGGGGACTCTGATGAGTCAGGTCAGGAGTATCCCCAGATTGTTATGTTATCACTGACGGAAAACAATAAAAACATTATAAAAAGAAAAAGGCAGGAAGGGAGAGCGTCCCAACCGGAGAAAAAACAGAAGATTTTGCAGGAACCTATTCATGGTCCTCGACCTATCGTTAATCAGTTCCTTTGTTTTGCGGAAAAATATTTACCTTGTAAGGTGTTGTTGGATACTGGTGCAACTGGTCCTGTTTTGTCTGCTGTTTTTGTTGATAGTTTTGAGGTCCCGCAGGTGAAACGAGACGTCCCGGCCCGGGTATTTGGATTTACGGGAGAAGTTATGAAGGGCACGGGACACGCCTTTACACAACCATTAATTATAATGTCAAGGGGGCATCAAACACAGTTGTCATTCGAGATCGCCCCTCTCCCACTTGGCATCGATGCAATACTACCGAACTGGTGGTTGAAAGAACATAAGCCGGTTATAGGGTCAAATGGGGAAGTTTTCTACGATGGTGAGAACTGCAAGAGTCGATGCTTCACTGACAAGGAACCTCAAATAGAAATGGACGAGGGTGTATTGGACGATCCAGAGGCCCAATTCATCGGTAGTATTTGTCTTCTGGAAGATGAATCGGTCAACCTCCGCGAAACTCTTCCCTCTTGGCTCCATGGGTTCCTTAAAGTCTTCCTACCATCGGAAGCAGATAAATTACCACCGCATCGATCTTACGACCATGCAATAGATCTTGAACCAGGGAAGCAGCCACCATGGGGACCCGTTTACTCCCTATCCGAAGTCGAGCTGAAGGTGCTTCGGGAGTACCTGGACAAAATGTTGCGATTGGGAAAGATTAGACCGAGCAAATCCCCGGCAGGAGCCCCAATCCTATTTGTGAAGAAGAATGACGGTAGTCTGCGACTTTGTGTTGACTACCGTGGACTTAACCGTGTGTCCATCAAGAACAGGTATCCTCTACCGCTTATGGACGAGCTACGAGATCGAGTGGCAGGCGCGGTTATCTTCTCGAAGATTGATCTGAAGGAAGGTTACAACCTCATCAGGATCAAAGATGGCGACGAGTGGAAGACAGCATTCCGTACGCGGTATGGGCACTTTGAGTACCTCGTCATGCCTTTTGGGCTGGCAAATGCGCCGGCAACCTTCCAGAACATGATGAATGATGCGCTGAGGGAATTCTTGGATCAAGGTGTAGTAGTATACCTTGACGATATCCTAATATATAGCAACTCTCGAGAGGAACACAGGGAGCTGGTCGGCAAAGTACTTAGCAGGCTACAAGAATACAACCTGGTCGCCAACCCCAAGAAATCATTCTTCGAGCTCACCGAAATCGAGTTCCTCGGATACATCCTTGCCCCAGCAGGCGTCACCATGGCACTGGATAAGGTTATGTCTGTTACGAATTGGCAAGCCCCGCGCAGCGTTAAGGAAGTACAGATCTTTATGGGCTTTGCCAACTTCTACAGAAGGTTTATCCACAACTTCTCCGGGGTCTGTAAACCCATTACTGATTGTCTCAGGGGTGATGCTAAGAACTTTGTCTGGTCTATGACGGCCCAAGCAGCCTTCGAAAAACTCAAAACCCTGTTTACGTCTGCACCGATCTTGGTACATTTCTCTCCAGATCGCCAGACTATCGTGGAAACGGACGCAAGTGATTTTGCTATCGCCGCAATTCTATCCCAGGTTATTGACGGAAAGACTCACCCTATTGCCTTTTATTCTCGAAAGCTTAACCCAGCGGAACTCAACTACGACGTGTGGGATAAGGAGATGCTAGGAATTGTCTCGGCCTTCAAGCAATGGCGTCACTACCTCGAAGGACCTAGCCGAACGGTTCTCGTTTATACGGATCACAAGAACTTAGAGTACTTCTCTACAACCAAGGTTCTTAACCGACGACAGGCAAGGTGGGCTGAGTCTTTGGCGGAATTTGACTTCAAGATTATTTACCGCCCGGGAACCAAAAATGGGAAGGCAGATGCACTATCGCGACGGCCGGAGTACCGTCCTGAAGGGGGAGGCACGCTTGGGAAACAACCGATATATAGGTTCTTTAAGCCCGGACAGTTGGCAGAGGAAGAGTTTGTGGTATCAGCGGTGTCGCTTGCCTCCAAGGGGGTGATTGACTGGTCTAAGAATTTGCTGGATCATGTCAGGCAGGCGGCATCGGGAGACCCGACATGGGTAGGAATGAAAGAAAGAGTTGAGCAAGGAGAAAAGCTAGGGGAACTGAAGGATATTGCTGAGAAAGACGGGCTACTCTTCTATAAGAATCGACTCTACATTCCGGCAGACGACCGTATCAAGATCCGAATCGCACAGGCAGAACACGACTCGAAAGTGGCAGGACACTTTGGACAAGATAAAACCTTGGAACTCATCACGCGTAACTTCTATTGGCCAAAAATGAACGAGTATAACGGGGACTATGGGCGTAGGAACTATGAAGCCAAGGAATACAACCGAGGCGAAGACGTGGACGTAGGAGGTTCGTGGACTATGGACTATGGACTACGGGGCCGAAGGGTACACCTAAGGCAAGAACGGGGACTGTGGACTATGGACTATGGATGGTTGTACCTGGTCTAGTATACCAGGTAAACCCTATGATGTAGCGCGAACCAAATAGTATTCGTAACTGTAAAGTACAGAGGTTGCATAACGAGAAAAGGAAAAGAAAGAGAAACAAGAAATCACGAGACAACGCCCCCCTTATATATCCATACCCTATCCCAATGCTGACTCATACCCTCACATAACAGAAACAGAAAGAACATAATAGAAACCCGCTTCCCTAAACCCAACCACACTGCATAATCCTTCTCCCTTGTACCCAGACAACTCGCATAGCCAACCCGCCTAGCTGCCGTTACAAAGATATCAACGGCGGCGGTATTATCGTGGTATGCGGCGGGTTCCCAGGTAGGGTCGGTATAGCCCGTCCACTTAACAAAGTATTGCAGGCCAGTGTTCCGCAATTCTCGCGAGTCCAAGATTTCCTCAACTGCATACTCCTCCTCCTGCTCGACGATAACAGGTGGGGGTGGTGGTTGAATTTGCCCTGGTACAGGATCGTCTGCAGTGGGGTCCAGCAATGATACATGGAAGACGGGGTGCACCTTCATACTTCTGGGCAGGTCGACTCGATACGCATATGGCGATATAATTTCCTTAACGGGGAACGGTCCCAGTTTCTTCCAGTCCAGCTTCCGGGAGTTACGCGTGGTTCGGATGTTTTTTGCTGAGACAAACACCATATCACCGACATCGTACCGTGGGGCCGGCGTTCGTTTAGTATTGACGGCCTGCTCTTGTTGATCCTGCGCTGTGCGGATATTGGAACGTAGGTGCTCATGGAGTTCTCTCATCTTCGAGGCGAAGTCTTTAGCGTTGAGACTCGGTGGGGTCCTGTCAAGCGATTTGATCGTCACTGTAAACCGGGGGTGGAACCCATAGTTCGCGAAGAATGGTGTAGCTTTAGTGGATGCGGAGACCTGATTGTTGGCGGAGAATTCTGCCATCGGAAGCCATTTTACCCAATCGTCCTGTTGATAAGAGACATACCCACGTAGATATTGCTCCATCACAGCATTCAGCCTTTCGGTTTGGCCGTCGGTCTCCGGGTGGAAGGCGGTGGACATCCTTGCTTCGATGTTGAGGTGTTTACAAAGAGCCTTCCAAAACATAGCTGTAAATTGTGTACCGCGGTCGGAGGTGACGTGTGTGGGTAGCCCGTGGAGCTTCCATATGTTTCGCAGGTACAGCCGGGCGAAGTCTTCGGAGTTGACAGTAGTATTGCAGGGCAGGAGATGTCGCATCTTTGTTAGCCAGTCAACCACTACCATAATTGTATCGTACCCTTCACTCTCCGGTAGGCCAGTAACGAAGTCCATCGATACCTTCTGCCATGGTTGTTCAGGAATCGGTAAAGGTCGAAGTACGTCAAGTTTTCCGTGGGTATTGGGTTTGCTTCGTTGACAGGTATGGCAGTTCCGAACGTAGCGGGCAATATAATTTCGCATAAGGGGCCAGTAGTAGTCCCGACTGACGAGTTCGAATGTTTTTTCGCGTCCCGGGTGTCCAGCAGAGGCGGCGTCATGGTAAAGTTGAAGGATTCAGAGCTTAAGAGGATCGTAATTAGGGACATATATACTGCCTCGGTAAAGTAATCGGCCTTCAACCTCGGTGCATTCGGCGAGTGATATGTCCTTTGATTGTCGTTCGCCTTTATTCCGCATATCCAGTATCTCTTGGGGAAACGGGTCAGCGCTATATCCTTCATCGAATAATTCCTGCAGTGAGGCGTTCTTTTCAGCGGGCTCGTTTGAGAAAGAACCCGCCAACAAACTTAGCTTTGCATCAAGATTCTCCTTCTTCAGCACAATTTGACTCTGATGCAATTGTCTTTCATCCCCCTCTCCAGGGAGATCTCCTGATCTTCTTGTCAATGCGTCCGGCTTCCCTCCTTATTTCCCTGGTCGGTATTTGATAACAAAATTAAACCGTGACAGGTATTCTGCCCACCGTGCTTGTCTCCGGTTGAGTTGTTTGGTACTCATAAAGTATTCGAGATTCTTATGATCGGATATGACGGCGATTGGGTGTGCAGCTCCTTCGAGTTCCGGTCGCCACTCCTCAAAAGATCGAATGATTGCCAGTAATTCCTTGTCGTAAATCTCGTAGTTGCATTCGGCGGGGGAGTGCTTTTTCGAGAAGTATGCAACAGGTCGGAGGATACCATTGTCATCGTATTGGGAGAGTACACCGGCGGAGACATAGTCAGATGCGTCGGTTTCTACAGTAATCTCCTTCTCCGGGTCGAAATGAGTAAGAATGGGCGCCATGGTAAAGGCTTCTTTTAGGGCGTTGAAGGCGGTTTGGGCTTCGGATGTCCATCCAAATGATATGTCCTTACGTGTCATTCTGGTAAGAGGAGAAGCCAGTTCCGAGAATCCGCGTATGAATCGGCGGTAAAAGTTAGCAAAACCTAGGAATGCTTGTACATCCTTAACTGTTTTGGGGGCGGTCCAATTCTTCACCGTCTCCACTTTCCTTGGGTCCATTTTAATACCATTGGGTTCGATAATCAGTCCGAGATAGGTGGTACTTTGTGTATGGAATTCGCATTTCTCCGGTTTCAGCAGTACTCCATTTCTTTGTAGGGCTTCCAGGACCTTTTCGACGTGTACTTGATGTTCCTCGAAGGTGTCGCTGTAAATAAGGATATCGTCAAGGTAGGCTGTGCAGAACATATCAAGGTAATCACGGACGCAAACATTAATGAAATGTTGAAACGTGGCTGGTGCATTGGTAAGGCCGAAGGGCATTACGGTGTATTCGAAATGTCCGTAACGCGTTCGGAAGGCTGTTTTCCATTCTTCACCCTCAGCCATTCGGATCTGATTGTACCCTTAGCGAAGATCAAGCTTGGTGTACCACTTGGCTTTAGAAAGGCGGTCGAGGGTTTCCCGGATGAGTGGCAGCGGGTATCGGTTTTTGACAGTAAGTTCGTTGAGGCCACGATAGTCGACACAGAGGCGGAGTGTTCCATCGGCCTTTTTAACAAATAGGACAGGGGCACCGGCAGGCGAAGAGCTGGCCTGAATGAACCCCTTTTGAAGGTTGTCCTGTATGTATTGTTTCAGCACAATGAGTTCCTCGCGGGACATACCATAAAGTGGCCCAAAAGGGGGCTCTTTTCCCTCCTTGAGCGGTATCTTATGATCATAGGGGCGGCGAGGCGGCATCTCGTTAGCGAATTCTTCGTCCATCATTTTATGAAATCTCTTGTACCGGGTTGGGACCCGGTTCCTCCAGTCTTGCTTAGGGGCTTCGCCCGTTGCTTGATCTATTTCCTCAATAGTTGTACTAAAGATTTGGAGTTTGTCTCTTCGAGCAAAGCGACAAAGAGCAGCTGAACTGACGAGGTGGAAACGGGGCGGTGGTGCAACCCCCTTAATGGGAACGGGTATCGGGGAAGAGTTGCATTGGCGTTTGCAGTATTCGGAGTCGAATAGTATGCTGTTGTCCTTAAACCGTAATGTCGCACCGTGCAATTGAAGCCAGGGGATTCCGAGGACGAGTGGGTACGCGCCGAGTTTGGTAACGAAGAAGGAGGTAGTTTCATGGTGGGAGTCAATTGATAGCGGCAGATAGCAGAGGTGGGTAATTTGTCCGGAAGATATGGGCCGACCGTCGATGACTTCAAGGGTGCGGGGTGATTTAAGGGGGAGAAATGGGAAGTTATTATGGCGCGCGAATGTTTCATCAATGAATGCGAATCCGGAGCAACCGGTATCGATCAGTGCGTGAGTTTGAATGGATGTTTTATTGTTTATAATTTTACAAGAAGCAACCAAATGATCCCCATCCAATTTATCCTCCACAGACGATACCGAGAAGCCAGAGATAGAAAACGCAGACAAAGGAGAAACATTGGAAGGTCCCGGGCAGGGGCCATTAATCAAGCCCGGGACTACTGAAAACCCGACTCAGAGGAGGCGGGACTAGCGACCGGCGGAGCAGCGGGGTCGACGGCCGTATGGCTGGGTGCGAGGAGGGCGCCTCTCATAACCGGTTGGTTACCGCGCGGGCGATTGGCAGAGGGGCAGTTGGCAAAGACATGACCGGGGTTAGCGCAGTACATGCAGAGGTTGTTGTCCCTTCGCCATTGTTTTTCGGCGGCAGAGGTTTTGTGTTGTCCATTGACAAAAGTGTATCGTTGTTCGATGGCAGGGCGTTGAGTGTGGCGGCTTTGGAGAGCGGAGAGGTCCATTGGGGCGAGGCCTCCGGCGGTATGAGATGGGTGTGCGACAGCAGCGGGGGCGGTGAATTGTCCCATCGTATTCCGGATGGCCCGTTGTTCAGCTTTGCGGCCCCGAACCTGGTTATCAATTGTCATCAACATGGTGGCATAGACTTCAACGGTGTTAGACCTGTCTGTCCGGTATGTCATGGCGTCCGTCAGGTCTTCCGACAGTCCTTCGGCCAGGGCATCGATCTTGGCTCCTTCGTTGTAGTCCAGGTATGCCACGATAAGGAGAAACTGCGAGTAATAGGTGGCGAAGTTCCCCTTGCCTTGCTTAAGGGCAACGAGTTGGCGACGGGCGGTACCCCGGGGGTCTGGGTCTCCAAACGAGGCTTCCAGGTGGGCAACAAAGGCAGTGTTACGGGCATGCCAAGCATTTACGGGAGTGAGAGAAAGGCTAGTAGATACCCCAATACCCTTTGATACTAATGGCAACACCACTATCAACTCCGGTTCGCACCCACGAGGTGCGGTGCGATCGATATGCGACCAAATGCGGAGTTGCGGTTTTCCTAGTTAAAAAACACGTTTTCGACCCCAATAATAACCCCCGGAGCGTCAAACCGCCGGAGGGGAGTGTTTTGGTACCGGTGGATATATGAGGGACAGCTGGAATCAATCGGATCGAAGATCGGACCGCTCGGAGCGAATCGGCGCAAGCTGCCAGCCGGCCGAGTACCTATCGGCGGTACCTGTGGGCATGAGAGGACTCTGCTATGTGGAAAAGCGATGTGGGAAGAGGCCTGAACGGCCGATGGGGAAGAAACATCGACAGGGAAACGTGCATTAGAGTGGATAAATAGGTTGAGGGGTTTCAGCGGCTTTAGGAGTTTGGGTTACGGACTTAGGAGTTAAATGTTCTTGGTTGTTTTTCAGGGTCTCGGGTAGGCCCCGAGTGTATTCTGTATTATTAGTAGACTGGGTCCTCGAGACATAAGCGAGGGATATAAATACTGTGTCATTCACTGACTAGCCAAACCATCATCGGCGAAATCAGAGTCTTCACAATATAAATCGTTGATACGCGAGTTACAACTTTATTTGATTATATACTTCCTGAAATACTTTACTCTATCGTGACTTCGAACTCTACCTGAACTATTACGTCGAAGACGGTCGAACATCTTACACTAAACTCTAGTGGATCTTTGTTGATAACGTAGCTCGCGGGGCCCGTATCGGATCAAGGAGAATCATACTCGACGTTGACTGAAGAGACCTTGGAGGCTTCTACCTTTGTAGTTGTTAGCCGAACTCTGAGCTCTGCGTAGTGTACTCTTGTGGTCTGGTACGCATCCCTCACAGTATATTGTTACTCACAAGTTCACTTGGAGTAACGAAGTCACCTCAAAAAAGAAGAACTATTATCATTATCCCTTATCACAATGGCTGGCCGAAGGGATTATTTCGTAGACACCTCGGCCGTAACAGACGAGGCCGCAGAGGACGCTATGATACTATCTGGGGCTGTTAGCCCCGATCCCCTACTCCAGGGAGGACCCTCTACACAAACTAGATCAACGAGTAAACGCTCTGCTCAAGCCCAGTTTACGAGGTCCATGCAGGAGTTTTTGGATACCCATGAGGCACAAATGAGGTATCTTGGTACAGCTGGACAGGCCGTTTGGCAGCAGCTACAAAACCTTTAGGAACAGGTCCAAGGAAGTGGGCAAATTCTGGACAAGAAAGTACGACAAGAAGCCATCGCCCAGAAGCAACATCTCGAATCGCTCTTTGAGCTCGTCGAAAATGTTCGACAAGAACAGGAAGCCGCACGAGTCGCCGACCACGAGGTTCTGGACCGTAACCATCGAGTTACCCAGAACCAACTGTTGGAGGCGCAACGACAGCTGAGAATTGCAAGAGAAGAGCGAGAGCAGGAAAAAAGGGAACAGCGGGAACTGTTGGCGCAATTCAAGCAGTCCGATGACTTAAGAAACCAACGAATAGCCGAGATGGAGGAACGACTACGACAACATCTGTCGGTAGCGCCCTCCATGGTGAGTATTCCCTTGAACCCTAATGCACCCCAAACGGTTCCTGTTGGCAATGGCAAGAACCCCGAAAACGCTGGCCCAGTAGGAGGAAACACTGTCCCAGTAGGAGGAAACGATGGTCCCGTAAGAGGAAATGGAGGCAGGCAACCGGAGGATGCCGGCCCAGTGCAGGGAAATAGTGGCAGGAGACCGGTGGGAGCTGCCCCAGTCGGCGGGAACGGTGGAAATCAACCTCCCCAGAAACCACCAAGAGGAAACGTTGGGGGAGACCCAGAACCTTCCGATGACGATGACGACGATAACAGTGAATGGTCGCACGGTCGGAAGAATTGGAGAATGAACCGAGGCGGGAACCGGAATTCGGCGCCGCCTGAAGATGACGATATGGTAGACTCGCTTGCCAAAATACCCTTTGAGTTCGATAATGCCAGGAAGCACAACCTGCGGCATTGGCTCATGGAGTGCGAGATCTACTTCGAGCAGAAGCCCAAGAAGTTCCGAACGGACAGAAACAAGGTGCTGTTCGCTGGAACATATACGTGTGGGTTGGCAAAGGAATGGTTTATGGAGTATATCGAGACCAAGATGCTAGGTCCGGCAGCTGCCGACTACGCTACTTGGACTCGGTTCCGTCAGGAGATTAGGAAACGCTTCTTAAGCACTCAGGAGGCTATGGAAAACGCGATGAAGATGCAGCAGTTTAAGTACTCTGCTAACATCGGGGACTACCTGACGAGAATGGAGATCATGAACCAGCATGCTCAGATGAAAGGAGCATCCTATCGTGCCGCCCTGCTCCAAGGGCTACCAAATGAAATCCGGGAGCGCCACTCACGCTTCGATCCAACCGATGACGACTCCGAATACATCCAACAGTTGGAACGAGCCGGCAAGGCTCATGAGGCTTATCAAGAGCAGATGAAGATGTTGGGGAAAGCGGAGTCGAGAGGAAGGGAGAAGAATAATGGTGGGAACTCGCGGCAGAAGGAGAAGGGGTTTAAGATCAAGGGGAGGGCTCAGACTGAGGAGAAAGAAAAAGGGCAAGATAAGAAGAGCACCAGCAAGAACAAGTCGGGGAATAAGCCAATATACCACGACTATGACGAAGCCACCAAAGGAGTTCCACAGCCGGTCCGAGACCAGCGAAAGACCGATGGTGTCTGCATACGATGTGGCCGAAAGGGTCATCTTTGGAAATGGTGTCGTTCAGATGCTAACAGCAGTGCATCTATCTCCTCTTTCTCCCGAAAGCGTACCCGTGATGACGATGGCGACCACGAGATGGAACCACCGGAACCCCAACCTCAAAGAAAGCGAATGAGGCACCGTGCTAAGAAGTCGGCTGCTACGGCTGCTGCGGAATATACCAGTGGGCAAGCGTTTGTGCGAGAACGCGGATCGGAATCTGAGATGGATTTCGACATGGGTTTTTGTTAGGGGACTCTGATGGGTAAGGTCAGGAGTATCCCCAGATTACTATGTTATCACTGACGGAAAACAACAAAAAAAATATAAAAAGAAAAAGGCAGGAGGGGAGAGCGTCCCCACCGGAGAAAAAACAGAAACTTTTGGAGGAACCTATTCATGGTCCTCGACCTATCGTTAATCAGTTCATTTGTTTTGCGGAAAAATGTTTACCTTGTAAGGTGTTGTTGGATACTGGTGCTGTGAGGGATGCGTACCAGACCACAAGAGTACACTACGCAGAGCTCAGAGTTCGGCTAACAGCTACAAAGGTAGAAGTCTCCAAGGTCTCTTCAGTGAAGGTCGAGTATGATTCTCCTTGATCCGATACGGGCCCCGCGAGCTACGTTATCAACAAAGATTCACTAGAGTTAGCGTTTGATGTTCGACCGTCTTCGACGTAATAGTTCAGGTAGAGTTCGAAGTCACGATAGAGTAAAGTAATTCCAAAAGTATATTCAAATAAAGTTGTAACTCGCGTATCAACGATTTATATTGTTAAGACTCTGATTTCGCCGATGATGGTTTGGCTAGTCAGTGAATGACACAGTATTTATATCCCTCGCTTATGTCTCGAGGACCCCATCTACTAATAATACAGAATACACTCGGGGCATGCCCGAGACCCTGAGAAACAACCAAGAACATTTAACTCCTAAATCCGTAACCCAAACTCCTAAATCCGCTGAAACCCCTCAACCTATTTATCCACTCTAATGCACGTTTCCCTGTCGATGTTTCTTCTCCATCGGCCGTCTGGTGGATAATCGTCAGCGTCGGCTATTCGGAGGTCTCGGACGGCAAGGCTACCTACTCAGGCCTCTTCCCACATCGCTTTCCCACATAGCAGAGTCCTCTCATGCCCACAGGTACCGCCGATAGGTACTCGGTCGGCTGGCAGCTTGCGCCGATTCGCTCCGAGCGGTCCGATCTTCGATCCGATTAATTCCAGCTGTCCCTCATATATCCACCGGTACCAAAACACTCTCCTCCGGCGGTTTGACGCTCCGGGGGTTATTATTGGGGTCGAAAACGTGTTTTTTAACTAGGAAAACCGCAACTCCGCATTTGGTCGCATATTGATCGCACCGCACCTCGTGGGTGCGAACCGGAGTTGATAGTGGTGTTGTCATTAGTATCAGAGGGTATTGGGGTATCTACTAGCCTTTCTCTCACTCCCGTAAATGCTTGGCATGCCCGTAACAGGTGCAACTCTTCCTGTTTTGTCTGCTGTTTTTGTTGATAGTTTTGAGGTCCCGAAGGTGAAACGAGACGTCCCGGCCCGGGTATTTGGATTTACGGGAGAAGTTATAAAGGGCACGGGACACGCCTTTACACAACGATTAATTATAATGTCAAAGGGGCATCAAATGCAACTATCATTCGAGATCGCCCCTCTCCCCCCTGGCATCGATGCAATACTACCGAACTGGTGGTTGAAAGAACACAAACCAGTTATAGGAGTAAATGGGGAAGTTTCCTACGATGGCGAGAACTGCAAGAGTCGATGCTTCACTGACAAGGAACCTCAAATAGAAATGGACGAGGGTGTACTGGATGATCCGGAGGCCCAATTCATCGGTAGTATTTGTCTCTTGGAAGATGAATCGGTCAACCTCCGTGAAACTCTTCCCTCTTGGCTCCATGGGTTCCTTAAAGTCTTCCTACCATCGGAAGCAGACAAATTACCACCGCATCGATCCTACGACCATGCGATAGATCTTGAACCAGGTAAACAGCCACCATGGGGACCCGTCTACTCCCTATCCGAAGTCGAGCTGAAGGTGCTTCGGGAGTACCTGGACAAAATGTTGCGATTGGGAAAGATTAGGCTGAGCAAATCCCCGGCAGGAGCCCCAATCCTATTTGTGAAGAAGAAGGACGGTAGTCTGCGACTTTGCGTTGACTACCGTGGACTTAACCGTGTGTCCATCAAGAACAGGTATCCTCTACCGCTTATGGAC